GCGCCCAGACTGGGCCCGTCCCCCGGCCTGATATCAAAGCCAGAGGGGCTGCCACTGTGACTGTTCAGTGAATGGTCTTGACCAACCGGACGAGAGACACAGGAGGAGGCCAGGGATGCGGATCCCTGCCAGGCGCCCCCCCGCCCCAGCCTGCCCCCCTAACCTCTGTCATGGGGTCCCCAGCGTCCAGCTTACCCGGGTGCTCTCAGGCTCCCTCATGGACCCCACCCCACCTCAAGCTAGTAGACAGAATAGTGAATGAAACAGAATGAATGTTTTATGTCATAAAAGACAAGCATTTACTTTCTTTCGCTCCTTCCTGGGCGGGCACCCTGGTGCGCTCAGTCCCTCTGAATCATGGATGGATGTCTTTTTGCATTGGGGTGAGGAGTGCCTGACTCTAGTTTGGGGGGGAGGACAAATGAGTGGTCGGGGAGGAGGGGGGAGACACTAGCACTCTGCAGGGAGGTGGGGTGGGGGCCAGGGAGCAGTAGAAGGTGTGCCTCAGCTTGAAGTGCCCCTGCCCTGCCCTCTCCGCACACCCTGCATCGGCTGCAGCCCGCCAGGGTGATGCCCACAGCAGGACAGGCAGACCGCAGGCTCGTAACGGGCTGCTGGGCATCACAGTCAGAAGTGTGGCAGTCCCGGCTGCCCAAAGGCGATTTAAGGGGAACACAACTCAAGCACACTTGTGAAAGCCTGGCTCTCGCTCGCCACCAGGAGTAGTGACGCCCACGGGAGGTGAGGTCGGTGCAAACAGTCAACCTGGCAGCTGGCAGGACCCTATCAGGGTGGTCAAGGGGCTCCTACCAGGCTCCCCCCCCCCCCCCCCCCCCCACACACACCTGATGGAATTCCCTGCAGGGGAGGAAAAACAGCAGCAGCAGCAGCAGGTAGTTCCAGATGCAGTTCCTTTATTATTGTGCCCCTGGCCCCGAGGCTGGCTTACACGGAGACCAGCGGTGGAGGGGCTGTTTACAAGGAGAGCAGTTTCTCTGTATGTGATAGAGTCAGGCAACTTCCCTGTCTCTAGAGTATTGTGACAGCCCATATCCAGGACCGCCGGTTCCAGATCCCCAGAAGCCTGTCTGGCCTCAGGAGGAACGGGCTGCCTGGAAAGACTTGTGGCGCTGGCACGGGTGCCTGTGGTGCTCACGCAGCGGGGAGAGGGCACGCGGGAGGCCGAGGGAGGAGCACAGGCCTGGCACTGTGCTGGAAGAGAGAAGGGGCGACGAGAGTGGCGTGGGGCCGGAGGGGGTGGGAAATGGGGCTGGACTGTGGACCTGTCCCCTTCAGGGAAGAGGACCCGGCATCTGCTCTGCCAGCTGGGGTCACAGACGGGCTCAGGCGGCCCCTCAATCCAAGCGGAGGTGGGGCAGGTGCTGCAGGAACGCACAGCAGGGAGGCACGGTCCTGGCTGGCGGTGAACTGCCCACAGCCGCCCCGTGTCACAGAGTGAGACCCAAGCCTCACACCCGGAGGGGACTGAGCCCCGGGGCTGTGACACACGAAGGTGGTTCAGGGCTGTGGTCTAAAGCAGTGGCTCTCCAGGTGCAACCCCAGGTCAGCAGCACCCACATCACCTGGGAACCAGCTAGGGACACAAATCCTTGGCTCCACCCTCTGATCTGAAGATGGGGGAGGGGGAGAGGAAAGAGGGGGCAGAAATCTGTGCTAAAAACCCTCCAGGTGACCCTCAGGCGACCCTCATGCAAGCTCAAGTTTGATCACTAGCATCCTTGGCAGATGTGAGCGCCACCCAGTGGTGACACAAAATGTGGGGTTCTCCTTAGCCATCAAACCACCTCCCCTTCTCCGGTTCTGTCCCCAGCCCAAAGTGGCCAGTAAGGAGAGTGTTTTCAAGGCTGATAGCAGGGTGGGTGGTGGCGAAAGTAACTTTTCATTCACACCCCCCACCTTGAACCCCTGAAGATGGACCGGGAGTGGCAGATCCCAAGACCAACAGTGGCCGTGGGGCATGAGGATCTTGGAGGCACATCGCCCTGCATGTCACCCCGCCCCTCCTCAGGGCCAGGCCTGGGGCCGTGCACTGGGCGGCAGCCTGATGAGATTCTAGGCCCGAGACAGCTCACACTGTGCCCACCCAGAGCCCGGTATTGGCGGCAGAGGGGAGGGAAGGCAGGCAGGAGGCGGTCAGCTCCACCAGCCGGGCACCTCCTCCCTGCCCGGGGAGGTTCTGTGATGCATGAGGCCACATGGGCGGGCGGGAGTGGCATTTCCTGTCACCTGGCCAGGCCTCCATGCCCAGACCACTGTCTCCAAGTCGCATGAGCGTTCACATCTGTGTGGGGATTCTGAGTGCCAAGGGCGGTCACCCTCACTCTGGTGTCAGTGTTGGCTCCGGAGGTGGTAGGCCAGGCGCCCCTGAGCCATGGCCCCAGGCTCCTGTGAGACCCTCTGCCTGGGGGGGGGGGGCATCCTGTCAGCCCAAAGGAGCCACTCTTCTCTTCCAACCGCACAGAGCAGGGCTCTAGCGCTGGGGCTGGCGGTGGTCCCACCCAACCGGGGAGTGGGTGTGAGGCTGCGTCCACAACACCCTGCGGGCCATGCTGCTCCTGAATGTCAGCCTGGCGGTTTATTAGAGATGGAGAACTGGGGGCGCTGGGGAGAGGGGTGGCGTGACGGCAGCCACTGCTGCTGACTCTGTGAAGTGGGGGGAATATACCCTCGTACCTCGGTCCCTACGAGATGGTGTGTCTACGTGACTAACACATTCTAAGCACACAGTAGGCCTTCAATAAACACAAGGCCCTGGACACTTCCCCCCCCCTCCCCCTCCGCCGCCGCCCCGTGGCTATGCCTGAGGAGCTCCTGGAGCTGGGAGGGGGAGGGAGAAAGAGAAGGATGGTCACAAATATTTTAAACAAGACTTCATCCCCTCACCAAAGGCCGTTACACTCCTGTCTCCCCAAACACAGGTCATCCAGGGAGTTGGGGTGCAGCACTCCCTCTGGGAGGGGTGTTCCTGTGAGCTGAGGGAGGGAAGGGCCGCTTGGTGAGATCGAGGTGTGGGTGTGCTGGCCTCTTTTCTGCACCTGTGTGTCGGCACCTGTTGCCCCCGCAGGACTGCGATGGCTCTCACCAGGCACGCCTTCTCTCTCCGAGGAACTCAGGGCCCTGCCGGCCTCAGAGCAGGGACCTGGGGGAGCCATCCTGGCACAGATCTGCATGCTCACAGGCGGGACCGGCACCCCAGTTCTGACTCCAGCCTTCAGGGTGCCCCTCGGAGAACCTGCCATACCCTGGGCCTCAGTTTCCTGTCACCATGTCTCATCTCCCAGGCCATTGGCATGAACAAAGAGGTCCCAGTCCCCAAAGGTTCTGGGCTGCCCTGTCCCTTTGCGGCTTGGACCAGCCCGGTCCTCGGTAGCGCTCACAAGACGATGTGGTAGTGCTCGTCAGCACAGGAGGTGGGGCAGGAAGTCAGGTCTCCAGGGTCTCCCCCAGTGACAAGGCCTGGCACCCCATCCCCATCTGCACAGGCTGGGGCACCTCAGGAAAGTGAAGGGACCCAGGAGGGGCAGGCATGTAACAGGCCAGCACCCCTCCCACTGCCGCCTCCCTCGGCCCTCGGCAGAAAGAGCACGCGCTCTCTCTCTCAGCCTCACTTGGTGAGACCTGTCTGACTTCTGTCCCTGCAAAGAGCTTGGCCTCACCATCACCTTTTATTTATCTGCATGAGTCCCGGGAAGCTGGAGGGCAGCAAAGATGACCACACCACCGTTTCTTTTGTCCTTGATGCAGCCTGGGGTTGCTAGCAAAGCTGGTCTCCCTCCTAATGAATTTTTCTCAGCCACCCCAAGGCCCTCTGGGTGGAGGAGCTAAGCCAGCCAGGGTCCCCACCAGCCCCAGAGGCAGGGAGGCAGGGAGGCAGGGAGGCAATGTGTTCTGAGGGTGTGCAGTTTCTGCACAGATGAGGGCTGAGCTGGGGATAGCAGGGACCTGTGTATGGGAGAGAGAATACCCTTCACCCAGGACTGACCCGACTCAGCCAGAGCTGAGCTTGTCACACTGGGACTGGACCCAGTGGGGAGGCAGGAGGTGACCTTTCTTGGCCCTGGTTTTAGCATAACAAGGGCCCACCTCTCATGGGTGGGGCAGGAAGAGGGTCCCTGTGGCTGGAAAGAGCAGGGCCCTGGAGGTGTGGAAGCTGGTGTGGGGTCTTCCTGTTGGAGCACCATGTCACAGCCTCAGGGGGCGGGGGGTAAGGGAGGCTGTGGCTGTCGAAGGAAAACTGTGGGCATCTGCACTGCATTTCTAGGCTTTGCTTTCTGTTCTCCCTCACCATCAGGAAGTTCTTCCTGAGGATCCCCTGCCCAATTCAGACAGCGAGGCGGGACCGGAGGGAGGGACTGTGCTCGCTCTGGGAGTAGAGCGAGGCCTCGTGGTCAGGGAGCCTGACACAGGGCAAGTGAGGTTCAGGGCGGAGCATCCCTCGACTTGGAGCTTTACCTTTTCAGTGGCTCCGACGTTTGTTTCAGGCTCTGAGATTGGGTCCAATTGGGAGGAGTTTTACACTCGCCCACATTAACCGCCGAAGGTGTAAAACCCTGGCCGTTCTGAGGATCAGGCCCTACACAGGAGATTCCTGGAGGCTGGGGCTCGGGGCCTTTCTCCCAGGGCTCCTCTCCCGGGGAAGGCCTCCAGGCGGCGCAGGCTCCTGCTGCAGCACATGCAGGTGGGGCCAACTCCCCGCCTTCTCTACGCCCCCAGCCCCCTCGCTCCATGCCCGAAGCCCCACCATCTACCACTGCCCGCATCCAGCGCCCGGCGGCCTCACCTCATTCTCTCCACTCCCAGGCCCTGCAGGAAGGAGCCAGGCCATGGGGACACTCCTCTCCCGTGAGAAGGCCTTGGGGTGGGCAGATCAGAGGCCTGGGCCTTCTGGGGGCAGAGATACCCCTAACTGCCCACCGTGATGCATCTCTGGGAGGCCAGAGCAAAGCCCCCAAACCTAGGCAGAGGCGAGAGGAGGGCTGCTCACTGATGTGGTTTGGGGATCCTGAAATCTGGGCATAACACCTGGAGGCTGGGGCTCGGGGCCTTTCTCCCAGGGCTCCTCTCCCGGAGAAGAAGGCCAGGCGGCGCAGGCTCCTGCTGCAGCACATGCAGGTGGGGCCAACTCCCCGCCTTCTCTACGCCCCCAGCCCCCTCGCTCCATGCCCGAAGCCCCACCATCTACCACTGCCCGCATCCAGCGCCCGGCGGCCTCACCTCATTCTCTCCACTCCCAGGCCCTGCAGGAAGGAGCCAGGCCATGGGGACACTCCTCTCCCGTGAGAAGGCCTTGGGGTGGGCAGATCAGAGGCCTGGGCCTTCTGGGGGCAGAGATACCCCTAACTGCCCACCGTGATGCATCTCTGGGAGGCCAGAGCAAAGCCCCCAAACCTAGGCAGAGGCGAGAGGAGGGCTGCTCAGCACCCGTCGGGGTCACGCTGAACGCCCGGTCCAGAGGGGTCAAGGTCTGTAGTCCTTTGATGTCGTTTCAGGAGCTGGGAGGGAGCAGAGAGTCCAAATCTCTCACCTTCCCGTGGTCCTTGGGAGCCTCCTGTCTGTCCCTGGCAGGGCCAGTCCCCACCTGGGCTGGCAGTGAGCACTCAGAAGTGGAGGGTTCCCGTCTGGTGGGAACTTCAGGAGCCGTGGTCTTGAGCACTTGGTGGGTCTGAAGGGTGGGCACCAGGGATGGGGACTTTCTGCGAGTTTCTAGATGAGCTATGCTGGCTCCCCGGGTCTGGCAGATGGGATTTGGACCCCTGTCCTTGTGGGGGGAGGTTGGAGGGGGACAGGATGGGCCGTTAGTGAACATGCAGCTGGAGCCTCCGGTGCAAGCAGCAGGTGAGAACCATTCCGCAGGTCTGCCAGGTGGAGAGAGCAGAGATCAGGACCCCACCGCGGTACGGCCAGCAGTGCCCAGAGTGGGGCTTCCCACACGGAGTGCGCAGCTGGGACCTGGATGAAGGTCAGGTTCCCATGTGGGAGGTGGGGGAGGGAGATACTGAGATTCTGCCATTCTGACAAGCTCCCAGGGAACACGCTCTGAGAACTGCTCTGCAAGAGCAGTACTTCTCACACTTTGATGGGAACGAATCACCCAGAGGAAGAGCCACACTCAAGGGGCCAAAGAACCGCATGTGGCTCTCGAGCCACAGTTTGCCGACCACAGGGCTAGAGCATCAGCCCAGAGCAGAGCAGTGCTGGGAAGTCACCTTTTCCTGGTCTCACTTTCCTGTCTCCACACTATTGAGGACCCTTATTCCCCCGCCTTCCCTTGCCTCCTTCTTCCTCTCTACCCCTCCTCTCCTCCCTCCCACCCAAGGATACACAGGGACAAGGCGAGGATATTTGGACTAGGGAGGCCACGACTGTGACCATGCTCCTGACCATGATGCCCTTGGATCCTGACTCCGGTGGGGGAGGGGCACTAGGGCAGCCCCATGACCACCCTGTGGACATGGGCCAAGGTGCACTTCCCCAAATATAGGAGCAAGGCCCCATCTTCCCCAAACTTTCCAACAGCTGCTGCCAACGGGAGGACAGGCAGGTGAGGACTCCTACGGGCCGGTAGGCGCTCGGTCTCTCTTTGCGAGGCTGGCGTAGGAGGTAGTGAAGGATGCCCCTCTTCTTCCCCTTCCTCCCTCCTCTCCATCCCGACGTGGGAGGCTGGTGGGGGTGCTCCTAAGGCTTAGGAAGAGCCACACTCAAGGGGCCAAAGAGCCGCATGTGGCTCTCGAGCCACAGTTTGCCGACCACAGGGCTAGAGCATTGGCCCAGAGCAAGGAAGTGCTGGGAAGTTACCTTTGCCGGTCTCACTTTCCTGTCTCCACACTATTAAGGACCCTTATTCCCCCCCCTTCCCTTGCATCCTCTCTACCCCTCCTCTCCTCCCTCCCACCCAAGGGTACACAGGGACAAGGCAAGGATATTTGGACCAGGGAGGCCACAACTGTGATCATGCTCCTGACCATGATGCCCTTGGATCCTCACTCCGGTGGGGGAGGGGCACTAGGGCAGCCCCATGGCCACCCTGTGGACATGGGCCAAGGTGCACTTCCCCAAATATAGGAGCAAGGCCCCATCTTCCCCAAACTTTCCAACAGCTGCTGCCAGCGGGAGGACAGGCAGGTGAGGACTCCTACGGGCCGGTAGGCGCTCGGTCTCTCTGCGAGGCTGGCGTAGGAGGTAGTGAAGGATGCCCCTCTTCTTCCCCTTCCTCCCTCCTCTCCATCCCGACGTGGGAGGCTGGTGGGGCCCTGTGAACACAGCCCTCAGCTCCAGACTCGGTGCCAGAGCAGAGCTAATCCACCAAGTACTCGGAGCCACAGCTGAAAGGCGGCCTAAGAGGTTATTTTGTCTCCCACCGGCTTTTAGCAGATGGTTGTCACAACCATTCCACCCAGGTGTCACGCAGCATGCCTTGTCCTGTGGTTATCTGAGTCTTTCTCATCCTTGCTAAGGGGGAAGCCGGAGGGAGCAGGTGGACCAGCAGGGACTTGTGGCCACCTCTCCTACACCTCATGCCGGGGGAGACGGGAGGGCTGGGCTCCCAGCATGCTCACTCTTGAATGAGATGTGTGTTCCCAGGGTGCCTCCCAGGGAAGGCACAGCGAGGATGGAGTGTGCGAGCCAGAATCTCGCCAATGCATGCACACACACACACACACACACACACACCCCACCCTGACTCATGCAGAAGAGTAATGGACTGAGTGTTCAGATCCCTGAGTGAGCTGTGTCTCCTTCCTGGCAGAGGACATGCAGAGATCAGCACACTGAGCAGCAGACCAGGGTGAGCAGAGAAAACACACAAGTTGACCACGGGAGCGGGAGATGGCGATGACAGGCTGCTGGGCCCAGCCTGTGTGGGATATGGCACCCCCTTCTGACAGGCGGCCTGGATGTAGCATGTGGCACACGTGGGCTTTTAACAGAGAAGCCTGAATGCTTTCAGCTTCTTTCGAGGTTTCTGACTCAGCACCTGGCGGTCACCAAGAGCATCAGGGAAAGACCAGGAGGTCCCAGCAAGCCACTCGGTTCCCCTTAATGCCCTGCAGAGTCCAATCTCACTGTCTTGCCAGTTTTCTGGGCTCTGCAGCATGTTCCTATCTTGCCGTGTGGGGATGTGGGGGTGGGAGTAGGAGTGGGCTAACTTCCATTGGAACCGTGTGGCCTTGGGTACAGCTACATCCCTCTCTGAGCCTCAAATCCTCCTCTATCAATAGGAAAACCTCTGACTTCAAGCTAGGTTTCCTCCAGTCCCGACCAGGGAAGCATATCACACCATCTTGGCTTTGTCTATCCTGAGCCTTGAGGGTCTCCCAAGTGCCAGGCTGGGCGTGTGTGGGAAGGTGCCTGGTGCCTGCTCCGGCGGGAGGATGACTGTGAACCTGGGAACAGGCCTGGTGTGAGCCCTCCTTCAAGGCCAGCAGCTGACCTGGACTTGGGGAGCTTAGTTCCAACACTGGCCAGCAGAGGGAGCTGTAACCCAGGCTTGGCTGCTGCAGGGCCAGCCTCAGAGGAATGGAGGGGAGAGACTGCCCATGGAGGTGGCCCGGAGAAGCTCTCTCTGGGGGACTCTAGGAGTAGTTCCACAGTGAGCTGGACCAAGACTTTCATGGTGGGGGTGGAGGGGGCAGGAGGCACCTGTGGGCCTGCAGGCGCCCTGCCACCTGGCCTCCTGGGCATCACTCCTGCAGGTGCACTTGGCCACCTTGCCCTTGGCTCTGGGCACTGGCAGTCCCTCCCTGCCCATGGCTTCACTGCCCCATCTCGGCTTCTCCAGGCTCTCAGGCCAGAGAGGCCAGAAAGAAATGGGCACAGAGTGTGGCCCCGGCCTGGCCAGCGTCCATGCAGAGCAGGTCCCCTCCATACCTGAGGCAAACAGCAGGTTTCCAGAAACTGCAGCTGATTCAGGGGCTGCATGCAGAGCAGCCTCTTCCCCAGACCCCATGGCAACTCCCCCGGGGTTCAGTATGTGGGGCAGAGGCCTGCCCTGGGAAGTACACGAGGGGCCGGGTGACTGCCCCCTGGGGCTCCCTGGGCCAGCTCCTGAGTGGCGGTGAAGGGGCAGCTGGTCTGTCCAGGGAACAATCAGGGCTTCTGGGAGAAATAATGTGCCGCATGGAAATGATAAAAGTAATGACGGGGACCATGTCCTGAGCGCCTGCTACCTGCTCGGCAGTGAGCCATGTGGTTACACGTACACTGCCGACCCTCACTGGTCACGAACCAGCTGTAATTAGCCCCACATCACAAATGAGGAGCCAGGGCTCAGAGACCAATAACCAGCCCTCGGTTGTCCGGTCTCCCTCCAGAGGGCCAGGCCCAGCAGGAGAGGCTGCAGCTGGACCCTCCGGCACTCAGGCTGACGTGGGCCAGCAGCCGTGACCTGGGAGGAACCCACGCTGAGGCTCCCTAGCCTCACACCCATCCTGCTTCTCTTTCCATGGAACTGTGTTGGGAGGGAGTTTGGGAAAGCAAAGGACCACGGAGACCTGGGTGGCAGTTCAGGACGAGACCCTCGTAAGTCCCCTCCCTGGGCCTCAACTTTCTGGTCTGTAAAATGGGGAGGACACTGTTACTCGCCTGGCCTGGCTCTCAGGTTGTGGGGATCAGATAAGAGAAAGTATCTGAGTCACTCTGAAGTCCACTCAGAGTTTCCATTTATGGAGGCCCTCGCCTGTGCCAGCTGCTGCCGTCACACGTATCACCTTGTTCTTATCTGGCCCTCACGCAGTTGGGGAAACAATCCATAGTTTGAGGATGACATTGGGGAGCCAGGAAGTAACTGCTCAAGGTCACACAGAAGCAGCGGCAGAATTGGACCCAGGTCCTCTGGTAGGTAGCCACTGCTCTCCCCTCTCCCCTGGACGGTGCTTATAGACCAGGCACAGGACTCAGCTCCCTCCAGAACCGGCTGGGCTGAAGCAGGAGTGTCAGGTGAGGTGGGCACGCAGGGCCCTTGCTCGCTCAGCCTGTCCTTGCCCTTGCGGGTGCCACTCCTGTCTCCTCTGATCTTGACCTGTGACTAGAATGACTCACGGGAGTAACACTAACTCCCTGGATGGCAGCTGGGGGAGGGTGGAGTAGTGACCCAGAGCAAAGAGCATGGCTCATGCTCGGAGCAGAGAGCTGGGTGTACACAGGGAGCACATATCCACAGGTGTGCACACGCACATAACAGAGAAATGAGAGCATGTCATGCACACACACACACACACACACACACACGTGCACAAGCACACCTAAACACATATACATGCATCCAACCCCCACCATGATGCATGCGGACACACCCAGGGCCCACACAGACACAGCAGGCTGCACACACACCTGCACATGCACACACAGGGGTGCATGCACATACCTGAGCCCACACTCACACTCCTCTCAGGTCTCTGTTCCTTACAAGTTCAAGTTGGCCCCCTGGCCCCAGGCATTTTCCTTCCTGTCTCTGGGGAAGAGAGTGACCGTGTGACTCAACTTTGGCTGCAAAGGGAAGGGGAGAGGAGGCAGGGCAGAGTGTGCGTGTGCAAAGGGTCCGTGAGCTCTTCTACAGCCCCTCCCCTCACTCACCTGCAGGCAGGCCACCCCGATGCCCACTGCTCCCATGAGCAGCAGGTGGTTGGCCAGGAACTGTTCCAGTTTGGTGATGCAGCCTCCCTGTAAGGTAACAGCAGGTCACACTCACCTTGACCCAGAAGTGGGCGAGGATGGGAGGGAAGGGCAGGCCGGGTGCTGCATCCAACTGGCTGAGGGAAGGCCGGAGACGGAAAGGGCCTGGTCCAGCTTTCCAATTGCCCACAGGCTTTTGGGTGACCAGGGTAGGCCATGATGTCCCAGAATCTCTCAGTAGCAGGTGTGCATCCCCTGCTTTGTGCGGCCCTTTGAAGGCCCAGCACTGCTGCTTTCTGGCCAATAAATAAGTGGGCCCTGCTCCCCCCACCTGTCTGCCCTGAGCTTGCCTTTTGGGGGCCCCTGGATGGCCAGCTGGGCCCTCTGCAGGCCCCAGCTGGAGATAGGTGCTCACCTCCACCTTGTAGATGTTGGAGGGGTGGGCCCTCTGGCCGCAGCGTGCTACCACCGTCTTGCAGCAGCTGTCGGGCACCCGGCGGCCCTCGGCCTCCCGGGACAGGATGTAGGTGCTGTGCTGCCAGTCGGCAGAGCTGTTGCTTCCACAGCACTTGAACTGCAGAGAGAGGCAGAACCTGGCGGTGAGGAGATGCACAGGCCCCTCCAGCAGCTTGGTTCCAGGGAGCAGGACCATTATTCAAATAGTAACCAGCCCCTTTCTTCTCCCTGGGATTCCTCCCTTCCCCTGTTTGGAGTGGGGGCTGGTCTCATTTCAGGCAAAATTTGCTTGCAGGTCACCTGTTTGCTGCCTTAAACATCACCAAGATCTTCAAGGAGATTATGGTGGTGCCCTGGGGCAGGGAGGGTGTGTGAGAAGATGGGCAGGGAGGTAGAGGTAGGTGGGGCCACACCCACCAGAGGTAGTTTTCTGGGCCCGCAGGGAGGCAGAACCCAGGGCCAGGGACCCAGTCCTGCCACAGGTTCCAGGCCCCCATTCAGGCTTTGAGGCCTCAGAGCCCTGAGTCCTGCAGGGACACAAAAGGTGTCCCAGAGGCCACGGAGCAGGCAGCTCAGCAGTGACCAGAGGGGCTGGTGTGAGCCGACCTGGGCCCTGCATCTGCTGCACCTCCCAGGGCAGGGATGTGCCCGCCCAGATCAGGGTGATTAAAAAACAGGAGATTGGTTATTTCTCGCCCTTCTGGTTTGGGGACTGAGACTTAGAGTCCCTACATGGGCCAGGGAACATGGCTATTTGAGGTGGTCTCTGGTGTGAGAGGTGCGGGTGGGGTGGGGTTTAGTCTACTTAACAAGTGTTTGTTAGGCACCTACTATGTGCCGGGAGTGACGCTCGGCACTGGGCTCAAACATGAGTTTATCGAACCTTTCATTGCCTGTCGTCCAGTAGGAGTTGACAGAGGTAAGGAACTTGCCCGGGGCACACAGACGGAAGGGACAGAGAGGACCCCACCCTGTTGGGGCTTACGTCCTGCTGCAGACGGTCCACTGAGGTGGTGATCTCCATGGCTCCAGGCTGCCCATAGTTCTCAGACAGCGTCCGGGTCATGTGCTGCTTCAGTTCATTGCTCAGCTGGAGGGTGGAGGGGAGGTGGGTCAGCAGAGCGCCCCACCCCAGTCCCCAGGCCTGCGCCTAACCACCAGCTACTCTGCACCACTCTGTTCTTCCAACGGTGCAGTGCGGTGGTTTCCCACACAGTGGAAGGGACCCTCCACGCACAGCAGACAGAGTTATGAGACGATGTTGCAAAAGCTGGGGCCCTAAAATAAGGGTGTGGTGGGAGGAGCTGAGAGGCAGGTGCGGGAGGAGACACCTCCGAGGCCCAGGGCTGCTTTTAAATACCTGTTGAATTTCATTTTGATCATGAGATCCCGTGGGCACCCAGTGCTCCTCCAAGTGCTGGCTTGAAACAACCAGCATGGTCACTGTCCCTACCAGCTGAATATCAGTCTGGTCGTGACCTTGAAGCCTGCTTCAGAGGGCACGCAGTGGGAGAGGACCCGACTGACCCCTTCCTCCTTGTCCTTGCAGGCAGGCGAGGCCGGTGCTGTCTTCATAGTCTGGCATGTGGCCCTGGGCCAGGCCTTGCTTTCCCTTTGGATGTGTGACTTCCCCTTAGGAGGGGAGAGGAACCAGCCACCCCCAGGGAAGCGTCCCCTCCTGGCTCCCATGGTGAAGACATCCGCATCCGCAGATGGAGGGGAGGGTTACTGGGACCCGGGCGAGAAGCAGGACCCAGATGTGCCGAGGAGTGTTGGGGCCTGGGAGACAGGACCACCCTGTGCTCCGGTGCCTCAGCTTCCCCAGCACCCTGCACCCTCCCCCACGCGTGGCCTCCTGGGGGTGCTATGAGCAACGTAGAAGGAAGACCTTCCACTCACCCTCTGGTAGTACACGTGGGCCAGGACCCCCGCCACCAGCTCCACGAGGAAGATCACCAGCAACAGGCAGAAATACTAGGGGCAAGGGGAGAAGACGGTCACCCTGGGATTAGGCCTGGGGAGCGGATGGTACTTCAGGGCCGCTATGAAAATGCTTTCCTAAAGTAGTGAGGGGGGTGGGGCACCTGCCAGGGACCCCCACCCCTGGACCATCTTCCTGTCTTCCCAGAAGCTCTGGGCATACCCACCTCTGGCTGCTGGCTGCTGGCACGGAGTTCTCCACTCACCTCTTCACTCACTGGTCTGCTGGCAGCTTGTTAATCCACCCACACATCCAATACTTACTAAATGCCTACTATATGCCAGGCCTCATCAGTACGACGGTTATTGCCTTCAAACTTGTTGGTGGTAGGGGGATAGATAGTAAGTGATCATAATGATGTGTTTTAAATGCTGTTATGGCCCTCACCGGTTTGGCTCAGTGGATGGAGTGTCGGCCTAGCAGTGATGGTGAACCTTTTGAGCTCGGCATGTCAGCATTTTGAAAAACCCTAACTTAATAGGAGGGGAGAGGAACCAGCCACCCCCAGGGAAGCGTCCCCTCCTGGCTCCCATGGTGAAGACATCCGCATCCGCAGATGGAGGGGAGGGTTACTGGGACCCGGGCGAGAAGCAGGACCCAGATGTGCCGAGGAGTGTTGGGGCCTGGGAGACAGGACCACTCCGTGCGCAGGTGCCTCAGCTTTCCCAGCACCCTGCACCCTCCCCCATGCGTGGCCTCCTGGGGGCGCTATGGGCAACGTAGAAGGAAGACCTTCCACTCACCCTCTGGTAGTACACGTGGGCCAGGACCCCCGCCACCAGCTCCACGAGGAAGATCACCAGCAACAGGCAGAAATACTAGGGGCAAGGGGAGAAGACGGTCACCCTGGGATTAGGCCTGGGGAGCGGATGGTACTTCAGGGCCGCTATGAAAATGCTTTCCTAAAGTAGTGAGGGGGGTGGGGCACCTGCCAGGGACCCCCACCCCTGGACCATCTTCCTGTCTTCCCAGAAGCTCTGGGCATCCCCACCTCTGCTGGCTGCTGGCATGGAGTTCTCCTCTCACCTCTTCACTCACTGGTCTGCTGGCAGCTTGTTAATCCACCCACACATCCAATACTTACTAAATGCCTACTATATGCCAGGCCTCATCAGTAAGACAGTTATTGCCTTCAAACTTATTGGTGGTAGGGGGATAGATAGTAAGTGATCATAATGATGTGTTTTAAATGCTGTTATGGCCCTGACCGGTTTGGCTCAGTGGATGGAGTGTCGGCCTAGCAGTGATGGTGAACCTTTTGAGCTCGGCATGTCAGCATTTTGAAAAACCCTAACTTAACTCTGTTGCCGTGTCACATATAGAAATTTTTGATATTTGCAACCATAGTAAAACAAAGATTTATATTTTTGATATTTATTTTATATATTTAAATGCCACTTAACAAAAAAATCAGCCAAAAAAAATGAGTTCGCGTGTCACCTCTGACACGCGTGTCATAGGTTCGCCATCACTGGCCTAGGGACTAAAGGGTCCCAGGTTCGATTCCGGTCAAGGGCATGTACCTTGGTTGCGGGCATATCCCCAGTGGGGGTGTGCAGGAGGCAGCTGATTGATGTTTCTCTCTCATTGATATTTCTAACTCTCTATCTCTCTCCCTTCCTCTCTGTAAAAAATCAATAAAATATATACTTTAAAAAATAATAAATGCTGTTATGGGGCAAGCCCTGGAAACTATGGGAGAGCAGTCAGAGAAGGCTTCCTGGAGGAGGTGACACCTGAGTGGCACCTCTAAGGATGAGTGAGCATTTGCCAGGTGAAGAAGGAGAGGAGTGCATGCCAGGCAGAGGGGAGAGCAGAAGCATGGGGTGTTTGAGTTCAGGGACATGGCTGGAGTGTAGGGGCTGCAGCAACCAAGGCTCTGGAAAAGCACAGGCAGGGGCCCGGGAAGGGCATTGCAGCGGTTCTAAATTCCCCTCACCACTGCCTGACTGCTCCGGTTCGCTGCTCTGCACGCTTCACAGCCCTGCTGACGCTGCTGGCTGGGTTCCTGGCTGTGCTCTGGGCTGTGACGGGCCTCATCCTGCCCCCACCCCCACCTGCTTTTACCACCAGGAAGGCTCGGGACACTGCTGGATCCCGGTACGTTCTTGGAGGAGCCAACAGGTCAGAAATGCATGTCAGGCCCACGTGACTGCGAGGGGACAGGGTGAGGGAGATGGTGCAGGTACAGGTAGGGAAGAAGGAAAGACGTGGGGGGAAAGGAGGAAGAAGAGGGGGTGCTGTTGCCTGAAATTGGCCCCTTCTGGGCAAGCACAACCCCTACTCCCGGGCACTGGCTGGTGATGCTCTTCCTCCCTCCAGGCACTGCCCACCTGTGGGTGAGCTCTGAGATGCCAGGGTTCATCAGGTGTGGCAAGAAAGTGGGCAGGAGGGTCTGAGGGCAAGGAGACAGCTGGCACGGGCTCCCAAGAGTTGACAGGGTGGGATAGCAGGAGGGCAGGGGCTGTCTGGCCATGTCAGAGGCGATTTCAGCCCATGGGCCTGTAGGCCTTGCCCACTGGCTCCCAGAGCCCAGCAGGGGACTTGGCAAGGGCAGGACTGAAACAACACAGGGGAGAGCACATTTCACGGACAAAGAACTTTGACCCACGAGCAGGCTTCCTTTCAAGTTAAGTGAATCCGCCGCTTCTCCCTCAGCCATTGGATTGAGCTCATTGTCTCCCAGCACCGAGTGAGCAGGGAAACCTACAGTCTCAGTACTGGTGCCAGGCCTGCCCGACACTGTCCTGGGTCCTCCCTTCCTGCCCTGCTCTATGCTGCACCAGGAATGGCCCGGGCCTGCATGTCCCAGCTCTGCCCGTCCCTTCCCAGGCCCAGGCCCGGTCCCCACTGGGTGAGGGTGTGGAGGAGGTGGGTGTGGAGGAGGGTGGGGGCACCCGCCTTGGTGCCCCCTGCAGGCTCTGGACGGAGGCTCAGGCTGACTGCACAGGATCCCAAGCTCCTGGCCCCCAGATGAGGTCTCGAGTGGGGAGGGCAGAGGCAGGTTCCAAGTGGGCATGTGCCCTGGGCCCATGGATTCTTCCCGCTACGGGGAGGGCTTTGGACGAAGGGGGCTGTGTGTGCCTGGGTCCTCGGGAGGCACTGAACACTGTCCATGTGAGCAGGAGGCTGACGAGAGGTCTGTGGCTGGGTCTCTCTGCTAAGCAGCCCGGGTGCCTAACACAGGGCCTGGAAACTGGAGGATGGTGTGGAGTGTCAGCTGACTTGGCTGTGAGTCCAGGCTCTGCCACTTGCTGGCTCTGGACGGGTGACCTCTGACACCTGGGTGTGAATTAGAAAAATGTGCTCCAATGAGAAAAACGTGGCTCAGTGAGCTGGGCGAGCTGACCTCAGCCTTCCCTGGTTCCTTGTACAAGGTGTAACTCCAGGGCCAAACGCAGGGCCCTGCCTGTGGGGCTGAGCCAGTGGGTGGCCCATCCTGCCCTACTTACCCCTAGGAGGACCCAGTGGGAGGCGAGTTACGCTTTACGATGATCTGACCTGCTTCCTGCTCCAGAGCTCATGGCGGCAGCCTGAGGTGAGCAGCACTTGTCAGCCAGCGGCAGGCACGGTCGCCTGGGCCAGATGGTTGTCCTCCTGGGAGCTGCCTGGCCCACTGGACAGTGTGTGGCTGCACTGACACCCACCCAGGAGGGTGTCCCCGCTAATGCATGCACTCCAGGGCCTTGGGGATGTGCCTGACCCGTAGCTCCTCTAGAACACAGCTGCACCTCCCTGCTGGCTCCACATTCATCCCCACTCTCCCTGCTCTGCCTCAGGACTCGGTACAGTACTCGTACTCAGAGGCCAGCTCCCATCCTGCCACCAGAGCCTCCGTGCGGTGGCTGCCAGTCACCCCCAGGCTCCCGGTGCACCCCTGTGCCTCTGTGGTGTGGGAGGAAGAGATGTCGAGCCTGTGCCTGCCCCTCTGCCCTTTGCCTTACTCGGTCCAGCTTAACTTCTCTCGGAGTCTAGTTACTACCTGCACACGCTGGACAACGCTCCCGTGGGCACACAGAGCCTGAGCACAGCCCGGCCTCTGCTCTCTCCCTGCCGCCTGCCTGGGTTCGCTGCCCCGGCCGCATCTGTGCTCCGCAGCTGTTAGCCACCAACCTCAGCTCCCGCAAGGCCCCCAAAGCCCTCCCTGAGCTGGAAGTTCCTGGCTGTGACCTCACTGCTGATACCCTTGAACCGATCTGACTGGCGGGCCTCACGCTGGTCTGCTCCCGGGACTATGGACACTCTGACCCGTATCTTGTTCTGTCTTCGCAGGCCCCGTGCATGGGTGTGAGCCTACCCCTCCCCCCAGCTCCCCCTGTGCCGGGCCTGCCCCTGCTCTCAGGGCTGTCCCCGTCCTTCCAGAAGTGGCCGCCCGAGTCTTGGCCGGACAGAAAGCAGGACGAGAATTCCAAGGGAAGCTCTTGTAGCTTCTGCCCCCAGAGCCCTTGATAAGAATGATGCCACTTCAAACGATGCCAAACTGGGCCCCAAACATGGGAGGAACCAGTTTGGTGAGCACAGAGTGGGACGCAATCATCTCCCCCTCTACCATTTACCAAAAGGGGTTTCCTTTTATTCTGTAATGGAACAGTTTGAACTGGAAGTTGGATATTTCCTAAAACGAAATGTAGATCCAGAACGAAGCTGGGGCAGGCACAGCACTCAACCAAACCGGAGAGGCTCTGCAGGAAGCCTGCGGTGATGTTTCTCGCGGTGACATTACGGGACGAGTCTTCAGAGGGACAAGGGACCTCCGTCCGCCGCATGGGACAGGCCAAGCCCAGGTGCGGTTCTGTCACTGGGCCTGCGACACAGGGCAGCTCGGCACCAGCTGGCACCACCTTGAGGTAAGTAAGTTTCAAGAACTTTATACAACTGGACTTTGGAATTTCCCCATTGGACTGATTCTGCCACAAAGAAGGGAGCTTCGCTAAGCGCTCCTCCTCTGTCTCACTATTCCGCACGGTTAGAGAAGGGCACCGAGCCGAGCCACCTTCGGAAAATCGAGGCAGGGTGTCCGGGCGGGTGGGGGGAGAGGCACAGTGTGGTCTCAGGGCAGCGAGGCAACAGGAGGAGAGGAGAATCGAGATGCTGCCAAAGTCAGTGGCGGGGAGAGCACAGCTGGAGGCTCCCCGCTTGACTGTGTGTGAGAGGATTACAGCGGCAGGCGCGGGAGGGCAGGGAGCTCAAAGCCACCCAGGCCAAACAGGAAGAGCTGGAGCCAGCTGTTTAAGCGGCAATGACCTCAGGGCTCATTATTTTCTGGCAATTAACCACGGGCTGGAGGCAGCCAGGGCTCAGAGGTGCAGCTGCCTGGCCTGTTTGTGCAGAAAAGAGAGGATGTGGATTTGGGAGCCTCAAGCCATTCCTGCAGCAAGATGTCACTGTTGGAAGGATGAAGGTGACCTCCACCCGCTCCAGCCCCAGCCCAGGGCTCATAGCCCGGGCCCTCCAGCCCCAGCCATGCTGAAAGCTGGGGTTCAGCCACCCCTCCTGGGGCTGTTCTATGGGAAGACTTTAGGGCAGTGATGGCGAACCTTTTGAGCTCGGCGTGTCAGCATTTTGAAAAACCCTAACTTAACTCTGGTGCCGTGTCACATATAGAAATTTTTTTTGATATTTTCAATCATAGTAAAACAAAGACTTATATTTTTGATATTTATTTTATATATTTAAATGCCATTTAACAAAGAAAAATCAACCAAAAAAATGAGTTCGCGTGTCACCTCTGACACGCGTGTCATAGGTTCGCCATCACTGCTTTAGGGAGTGCTCTGGCTAATGGCTGATGCTAACATCCAGTTCTGGCCCAAAAGGT